TTTTTTTTTTTTTTTAGGAAAAAACCCTTTCATTACCACACTTCCTCTTTTAAGAAGCACTCTATGTCTCACGGCATGTGGTCTGTCCTGAGCTCTCATCTTTCTGCTGTTTGATTAGCTTATGCCAGCTGTTCATGGAAGCTGTTAAAAAGTTATAGTTGATTAATATCTACCACTTTAGTTCAGTTTTAGATGAAGAAGCATGAGTATCTATGAGCATGTTTTTGTATTAAATGAAGTGCTTTTTGTTTTTTGTGAGGTTTTTTGGAAGCTTTTTGTTTTTGGGGGTTTTTTTGGTAATTTGGTTTTATGCTGAGAACAATAGATGAGTCCCTAGATTGTAGGACTCTCTCTGTCTCTAAATGAGTACGTGTGTGTGTACATTTTAAGTGTCATAAAAAGGAAAATCTTACACAGTAATTTTATAACCATTCATTGAAATCATTGTGTTAGGAATTATGCTATAAAAATGCCTTGTATGTTTTAGCTTATTTTTTTCTCTCTTCAACAGTGAGTTACTGTTCTTATCTATGTTTTATCAAAGGGAAGTTGAGGCTCAGGGAAGCTAAGTATTCTTCCTAAGATCACATAGCTATTAGGTAATGTGGTAGAACTAAGAATGGGGCTTCGATCTGTCTTTCTCCAAATACTTAACCACCATGTTAACTGTATTGGGCCTGCACTTAACCTTTCCTTATCTGCCTCAATATTTATTTTTAAATTATTAACTCACTCTGCCAATCTATTATTAAGGTATCATGCTAAATAACTGTACAGCATAGAATGAAAGCTCTGTGTAAATACACATTTTAACATTGACAGTGTCTCTCCCATTAGAGAAAGAGATTTCATTTAAATGAATGAAATAAAAGAGTCATTATGTTGATTTGTACTCTGGTGCCCTCCTTCATTTTTCCTGTGTTGAGAGGCTTTTAATAACATCTAATACTTCATTTCTTATTCACTGATAAAGCTATGCCATAAAATTTAAAAACATTGCAAGTGCTAAACAATTACCAAGAAAACCCAAAGTGAATCAGAGTAGATGGATTTTAGTGATGAAACTGTCCTTCTAGACTCATTTGAAATTCTGGTCCATAGCCCATTTAAACAGATTCAATCTGCTATTTAGAGAGTGTATGTATCACACTCCCTTTGTGGTGGTAACTAGCTAGAAATTTTAAGTAGAGAATGTACCCAGGAGATGGAGGCTCTTTTCTAGGACCCCAAATCAGAGAATATCACTTTTTTCTGTACCCTGAAAATACCTGAAACAGGGCAGTGGGAAGATTGGAGTATAATCTTCTTTACAAAGGACTAGTGGAAGAGGGGTACCTGGGTGGCTCAGTTGGTTGAGTGACTCTTGATTTAGGCTTAGGTCATGATTCCAAGATCCGAAGATTATGGGATTGAGCCCTTCTTCAGGCTCCACACTGAACGTGGAACCTGCTTAAGATATTCATTCGTTCATTCATTCATTCATTCTCTCTCTCTCTCTCTCTCCCCCTCCCTCCCTCTTCCCCTTTCTCCCCCTCGCGCCTTCCTCCCTCCTTCTCTCTCCAGCTTGAGCAAATATATGCACATACTCTCTCTTCTATCTAAAAAAAAGAAAGGCATAGTGGAGGAATAAACGATAGGGGAACTTAAACACTAGTGTCTAATTTTTGATACCAATAATTAAAGTCTCAGGAACATTTTGAGGCCTTGCTTACCTTCTTTGACTCCTTACAATGGAAATAAGCAGTTACTCACAGCTCACACTAGACTGACATGCCAGCTTGTATGCCTTCACAGTGCCTCTCTCCCCTCCTTTCTTCCCCTCTCTCTTGTAAGTTGTGCATGAATTAACCTTGTCAGAAAGTAAAAGCCACTTAAAAGTTTTCTTGAAAAAGATGGGAGCCTTCTAATCACAAATTGCTACTCATGCTCAACTGAACATCATAGCTTATGGGTTATAGAGTTTTTAAATCATACAAGTAAACTTGGAATTTTGATGGCAGACAGTAGGATTCCATGACTTATATCCTAAAAGCAGTAGAGTTGTTTTATTTTATTTTTTATGTTTGTTTATTTTTGAGAGAGAAAGAGGGACACACAGAACCTGAAGCAGGCTCCAAGCTCTGAGCTGTCAGCACAGAGCCCGACTCAAGGCTCAAACTCAAGAACTCTGAGATCATGACCTGAGCTGAAGTCAGGTCAGACTCTCCACTGACTGAGCCAACCAGGTGCCCCTAAAAACAGTAGAATTTGACTAACTTTGGACAATGTCTTTATATTAGCTTTATTTTGTGATAAATAGAATCTTAATATTAAGACTTTTTCTTGTGGCACCTGGGTGGCTCAGTTAAGCTTCCAACTCTTGATTTCAGGTCAGGTTATGATCTCAGGGTTTGTGAGTCCTAGACCCTCATCAGGCTCTGTACTGACAGTGCGGACATTCTCTCTCTCTCTACCCCTCCCCTGTTTGTGCATGCTTGCTCTCTCTCAAAATAAATAAACTTTAAAAAAAAATAAAAGGACTGGGACACCTGGGTGGCATAGTTGGTTAAGCATCCAACTTCGGTTCAGGTCATGATCTCTCAGTCTGAGTTTGAGCCCTGCATCTGTGCTGACAGCTCAGAGCCTGGAGTGTGCTTCAGATTCTGTTTCTCCCTCTCTCTCTGCTCTTCCCCCGCTCTCATTCTGTGTCTCTCTCTGTCTCAAAAACAAACACTAAAAATTTTTTTAAAAAACAGGACTTTTTCTTGCTGATGTTTTGTTGGATATTCAAGAAATTAATCCTTTGTATATTATATGTGTAGCACATACCTCCATTCAACATGTGGCTCTTAATTTTCTTTTAGGGGTCTTTGATGAATTAAGATACTCATAATATTCATAAATTCAAATTT